ATGGCTTTTTTTATTCCGTTTAGCGATGTTTCGCTATAGCGAAGGTTAATCCAGAACGGATTAACCTCGCTATGCGAGGCACCACTGTATAGGGCAACATGTGCTGGATTGCCACCTTCAGTTGAGGGGGGGTGAGTACATTCTTGCTGTTTGTCTGCTACCCTCAGTTATGAAAGGGGAATAACTTTTGCTTGCTTGCCTACTTCAGTAACACACTGTTACCAGAGTTAAATAAGATTTTTATTGCCATCCAGTGCATATTCTCAGATTTTTTTAAGGTTGCCATGAGGGTGTAATATGCTTCATATTTCTCTGACAGATTTTGAAGCAAATTTTATAAGACTGCTTGACAAAATAACCAATGGCTCCCGGATTGAAATAAACCAAACAGGTAAATTTATTTCTCATCTGTTTAGCGCTATTACTGCACACAGAGCTGTCGAGAGTGCAAGAGGTCCCTCCTGCCTTGAGAAGCTTCATGGGGAACTGGAGGGGGAGGGAAAATAGAAATATGTGACTTCTTGAATTCTGGGTGCTTAGGACTACTTATAGGTTTACAGTGCAACCCCGAGGAGATTTTTGAAGCCCCGCAAGACTTTTTTTAAATGGATCCTGGTGCTTTCAGAGTCCTCTGCTCCCCTCAAATGTTTTCCTCTAAAAAAAAAAAGTAAATCGCCACTTCTGGAAGTCGGACCAGGACCAGAAGCTCACCTTGAAGTAAGCCTCATGAGTTTTCTTTGCTGCTCTGTGTATGATCCTATAGGCAGGCCCTCTTTCCATACCTGTCCTGTGTTGTGGGGAAAGACGAACAGCAGTCACAGAAAGATCGATCCAGTGTTTGTTCACAAAGCACTCTGGAAAATATGCAGACGGACAGAGACAGTGACACTTGCCTCAATTTGGAATTAGTTTGGGGCTTCTTTTTCTGGAAAATATTTTGTGGTAGAGGTGGAAAATAAATTCACAGTAACTGAATTTCATGAGTTTTATCAATTCATGATCTGTGAAAATGACAGCATCCAGTCACCTCTCGATTTGACATCACCTAGAGAAAATCATATGTTAGATTGTTTTTTCCCTTTTTCAGATTCTATCCAAGTAAATTTGTACATTCAAAATGCATGTCTTTGAAAAATGCTTATAACCATATATGAGACAATGGGGAAATGCATATACTATATCCATATATTAAGAAAAATGCATGGTTTGGAAAGAGCATGTTCAAAAATACCCACAATCTTCTGGAAAGGGGAAAAAAGCCTTGGGAGCCAATGTGAAGGGCAGAACCAGATGGGGGCAGGAATATTGGTGGATTTCTGAGAAATGGAACAAAAATGAAATAGACAAATATTCAGATCCCCATTATCTAGTTTATATGAGTTCTCTCTTTGCTCCTAATATCAGTAAATAAGTACTGCATCTGTTACCATATCCCCCCACCCCAAATTAAAGTCAAAGTTTCACTTGTTCCGCATTCAGCTTATGGAGAAGAGCTGCCCAGAAATTCAAGTTTTCACTGCCACGTCCACCAAGATACACCTCCAGGAACAAGAAAAGACTATGTCTAGATGGTGAATAAGACTCACATAAAATGCTTGCCAGGAGCAATCAGATCAAGCAGACAACCTCTATATCAGGGGTCCCCAACCCCTGGGCCACAGACCAGTACCAGTCTGTGACCTTGGAAGGACCAGGCCACGGGGACAGATGAGCAGCAAGAAAGAGGTGGGCAGCGAGCGAAATTCTGCCTCTTGCCAGTGCTCTCCTATTAGGTTCTACTACCACTGCTTATCTGACAGAAGGCAGAGCTTCGCTCCCCACTCCCCTCCTGCTGGTGCTAGATCCGCTCTGCCTGTGGCATTAGAATCTAGTAGGAGCCGTGCTAGATCCGCTGTGCCTGTGGCATTAGAATCTAATAGGAGCCTGTGCTCCTATTAGGATCTAAGTTGCTGCTGATCTAACAGGAGGTGGAGCTTCAATTGCAGCTCACCTCCTGTTCCTTTTCACTGCTCATCTGTCCCAGCACAATACATGTAATGAGCTCGATTCAAAGCTATCCTCCAACAACTTGCTGTATAACAAGTAACACACACCCCTGGTCCTTGGGAGAATGGTCTTCAACTAAACCAGTTTCTGGTGTCAAAAAGGTTGCATACCACTGCTCTAAATGGCACTGTGGATGGTTCTTGCTGAACAGAATGTTGGGTGGTCTGCAAGTCCTGTTCACTTTACTGGGTTTCTCCTGAGCAGGACTAACCTTGGCTTTAGCCTGGTGGCTAAATCCAGGAGTTTAAAGAGTCCTAGAAGACACTGCTGCTAATGCATAGGAAAAATTTCTGAATTTATTATAGCTGCACTGAAAACCCTTAGAATATTTCTTTTGCTTTTTGAAGGTACTTCTTTATACTACCAGCCTGGCCTGCTTTATGGGGGCTCACTGGAACACGATTGCAGCCTAAGTCGTAGTATTGGGTATTATTTGGAAAGCCTGCTCTGCTTGGCACCATTCATGAAGCACTCATTAAGAATTGTTCTCCGGGGTGTAACCAATGATCAGGTAGATCCTTCGGTAAGTAACAAAGCTTAAAGTGCATCTTCTTTCTCAAGCCTTCCTCCATGAAGGAAATGCAGCCACAGGAATGGGGTGTGTGTGGATGGGAAGCAGTGACATTATAGGAACGTTAGAAGACAGGGGGAAGAAAGAGCCACAGGGCAAGTCGGTGATGGAAGAACCACTTTATTTTTTCCTTCCTTCCTACCTACCTACCTACCTACACAAACTTTATCTTGCACTTTTTCTCTCGGGAGCTCAAGGCAACTTATATGCCTCCTGTCCTCCCCACTGCATCCCCCCCACAGCCCTGACAGGAGCTTAGGCTTAGAGAGAGTGTGCAGCTCCCCCAAGGCTCCTCAGTGAGCATCATGGTTCAGGGAACTCAAGCCTAGATCTTTAAAATTCCCTTTCCAACCATTTGTTTGGAAGCCCCATAATTCTAACCTCTGTGCCACTCTGGATGTGGACCCTGAGGGTAAGGGAGGGATTGTTCCCTCTCCTGACAGATTTTTTTCTCTGTATCTCTATAACATTACCTGTAGAGTGCATGGAGAAGAGCCTGTTACTAGAGTGTGGTGTTCTGATTAGAGTGTTGGACCAGGACTTGAGAGACCTGGGTTTAACTCCCATGAAACTCACTTGGTCAGTAATGCTCCTTCAGCCTGATCCACGTCACAGAATCATTGCTAGGATAAATGGAGAGGGGGAGAAAACCACATACAGTGGTGCCTCGCTTAACGGGTGCCCCGTTTAACGACGAATCCGCATACCGATGAAAATTTTGCCATGGCTTTTGCCATCGCATTGTGATGTTCCCTATAGGGAAAAATCACTTTGCGATGATGGCTCCCCCCCCATCGCAAATGCCCCATTTTGCACAGCTTGCGATGAGGGGGGGGAAGCGATCATCCCAGAAAAGAGCCGGGAGCCATCTTCCCTGCTCCAGCCCCTCCCACTTCCCACCTTACAGCTGATCTGCGGTGCTCTTTGATGCTTCCACAGCAGCTAAATAGGCAGGGAAAACGCACTGGGGAAGCCTCTGAAAGCCACGCTTTGCCGGGGTGGGGGTGGTGGCAGGGACAGGCCTGCCACCCCACCACCACCGCCCACGGTAAAGCACCGCTTTCAGAGGTGCATTTTCACTGCTGAAAAAAGCCCCAGGAGGCTTCCGAAAGCAGCGCTTTGCCAGGGTGGGGGTGGGTGGGGGTGTGGTAGGGGCAGGCCCGCCCCCCGCCCCCTTGCACCGCTTTTGGAAGCTTCCTGGGGCTTTTTTCAGCAGTGAAAATGCACCTCTGAAAGCAAAATGCATCTCTGAAAGCCCCGCTTTGCCGTGGGGGGGCTCGGGGGGGTGGCAGGCCTGTCCCTTACATTTCTCTCACTAACTCAATCTGACTTAAACTCTCTAAATCTTCACACACTCTGACTGAAATATTGACTCAGGCTCTGCCCCTTATAGCATCTGTCTCGTCTCCGCCTCTCTGCAACATTAATATTCATAAACCATTATATTACATTACATAGACCATAGATCAAATAAATAGAGAACACTACAGCAATGTTTCAAGGTAGCTTGATAAAGTGTCTCTGCTCCGACGCTGAGTTACTCTCCATGCCTTAGTCATTCCATCCCTGTTTTATTTTTATGGATGCTGGGTGAGCTACTAGGCACTTGAGAACACAGGAAACTGCTTCACATTCTGTCTGAGTGTTGGTCTGCTAAACATAGTACAGTGGTGCCTCGCATAGCGATCACTCCGTTGAGTGACAAAATCGCTTAGCGACAGAGTTTTTGCGATCGCAAAAGTGATCACTTTGCGATGGTCCTTATGGTTTTTTTTTCGCTTTGCGATGATCGCAGGGAAGCAATAATGGCAAAGTGACCTTTTTAAACAGCTGATCGGCGGTTTCAAAATGGCCGCTGGGAAAACAAAATGGCCGCCTGCTGTTGTTCCTCGCTTAAGAGGCAGCGAAAATGGTGGCGCTATGGAGGATTTTCACATTTTAAGCCCATAGGAATGCATTAATCGCGTTTTAATGCGTTTCTATGGGCTTTTTAATTTCGCTTAGCGATGTTTTCGCTTAGCAACGTTTTTTCCTGAACGGATTAACGTCGCTAAGCGAGGCACTACTGTACTGTCTGTCATGATAGGCAAAGTATTTTAAGTATTTTGGGTATCTTTATTTGTAAACATGCATAGAGATGCTTTGTGTCATGTGTGAGACCATCTGTGTGCAAAACATGCAGTATTGTCATTAAATGATGGGCTGGACTAAGGCATTTTGTTGCCTGAGACAAAGCAGCAATGACATTCCCTCTCTTACCCCATAATCAAGATGAATTGTCCCTAAGATCAGCCAGTGGGCTTCTTCCTCTTCTGAAGGCAGAAGATCTCACAAATACTTGTCCCCTTTTCCTGGTAAACAGTTCACTGCCCTTTCCTGGTACCTGAATCTTGCTGCAAGAGGCAATCACCTCACCATGCTTAACACTAACATCAGCCCTGGTGTGGCCTTATTCTTTGTACATTTTTATTTAAACGTGTTGTGTAGGGTCCAAGAAGGGCCTTGTTCAAATATATAATTGAATTGTTAGAATTGTAGAATTGTTAACTAAGGCTTTTTGGAACAACATCTGAAGAAGCACCAAGGAGTGTTGTGAGCCTCCACAGCATTCTTTAGGTAGCTTGCAGTAGATGAAACAAAGACACAAACCATGTCTGGAGAGGATATTTCAAGGCAAAGTTGTGTGTTGTCTCAGTCTATTTAGGGCTGCTGTGTTAGAGCATTGCCCAGGATGTTCTGTGTTGGTGAGTCCAGCCCCTTTTTCTCAAGGAGGCAGCTGCAATACCCAAGAGCTTCCTGGTACTTCAAGCAAGAAATGGGGCAGACAGGGACTTGATTATCCTGACTTGCTATCTTTTAAAAGCGGAAATGACCAGCTTTGCAGTGTGGATATGAAACTGCATTCATTTGGAGAGAGATTGAAACTGAAATACAGTGGTGCCTTGACTTACGCCCATAATCCATTCCAAAAGATGGACGTAACTCGAAATGGTTGTAAGCGAAAGCACCGTTTCCCATAGGAATGCATTGAAATGCAATTAATCCGTTCCAGCCGAAGAAAAAAATCACCAAAAAAACCACTGCAAGATTCATTGGAAATGTGATTAATACCTTCCGGCCAAAGAGGAAGGAAGAAAAGCAATCAAGCGTGCAAAACCCATTGGAAATGCACAGAAAACAAATGGAGCAGATCAGAAATGCACAGAAAACAAAGGGACCAGGTTGGAAATGCAAAGAGAACAAAGGAAAAAGCAAGGGAATCATGCAAGATAATCGGAAATGGGGGGGGGACACCAAAAAGCAATCAAACCCCCAAGACCCATCGGAAATGGGGGGAACTAAAAAACAAACAACCCCCCAGACCCATTGGAAATGGGAAAAAACACTCCAAAAAAGCAACAACCAAACCCCCCAAGACCCATCAGAAATGGGGGAGAACCAAAAAACAAACAAACCCCCCAAGACCCATCATAGCACAGAAACATAACCCCCCAGCCCAAAGCCACACTGCAAAAACACCCAGAACAGTTTTTAAAAAGCAGAAAACAGCACCTTACCTTACCAGGCAGCCTTCTCTGATCACACACTTTTGCTGGGGCAAAAGAGCTACAAAGAAGCAGCCTTGTCACCACCTACAGTTAGCAACTTGAATTTCCCGCCTTTTTCTCCTGCCTTTTTCTGTTAGTAAATGGAAGCTCCGGTCGCAAGTAAAAGCAAAATTTTGTGGCTGGAGCTGGTTGTAACTTGAAATAGTCATAAGTTGGGACGTTCATAAGTTGAGGCACCACTGCACTTGTCCGCTGCAAGCTTGGAACGCACATTTGATGGGAAAATGTTAAAATAAACCCTGTCTGTTGCTTCAGAACCTACTTGTCATCTATTTAAAAAGCAAGTTGTAAAATTATGCTTAGACATGTAAAAAATAAAGCATGGGCCTGTTTTCCATTCTGTATTCTAACAGTAGTGTTTTGGCTAGAGCCATAATTGATTTTAATCAAGTGGGTAGTGTTATGTATATTAAACAAGGATGATGCAGCATGTTTGATGGAAAAGGATATTGCTTGCCAGTGGGGGTGGGCCTTGTGCTTTCAGGAACTACAGTGAGAGGGCTGAATTTTGTAACAGCAGATGCAGAAGGCAGATTTCATGGGTGCAGAACTCAGCTCCTTGAGAGTTAGAGGGCCAAACTATCATACCATATAGAAATATTTTATTCCCTTAAAATATAAGGCCTAGAATCCCACTGGGGATTTATGCCAGTGTGAATGTAATGGCATAAATTGTGGCAGTGAAGTGCAGTTAATAAATAAATTGGCAGGAGCATTCATAGTCGGAGTCCAATCACAGAACTTGGCGTGTGGCTGGGAATCTGAGTGGCAGTTTGTCATGTAGGGGCAATTGGCTATTGCAGTTCACTCCTGCGTAAATCCACAGGGGGATTCTGGCAAAAGATTTGTTGTCATCTAACATGAGGCTGCCTTAGTCCCTATGTTGCAAACAACCTTGCTTTTTTCTGATTAGTCGTGTGGTGGAAAACATGGACTTTTTTGCATGTGAATTGCTTAGGCAATGACTTTGAAGGGTTGCTGCATGGCAAGGTTATACTATTAAGAAATACACATTTCCCTTAACATAGTAGACCCTCAGCTTTCATCTTTCCTGTGTATTGTATACTATACAGTGCATAAAAGGAGGTGTTTGCCGTGGAATTGGCATGGCTCGTGCACTGGATTGTAGTTAGTCAAGGTGGAATGTTCACATCTCTACCAATTAGTGCATATAATTATGCACATAATTATTGGTAGTGATTTTTTTCATACTGCTGTATTTTCTCTGTTGTAATTGAGCAGATTGCACTAGAATTCTCTAGCAGAGTTTTAAAAATATTTCACCAAATCCCAGGGTTGGAGACTGTGAAACCATGGCAATTACAGTGGTGCCTCGCATAGCGAGGGTAATCCGTTCCGGATTAACCTTCGCTATGGTGAAACATCACTGAGCGGGACGGGAAAGCCCATTGGAACGATGTTTAATGCGTTCCAAATGGGCAAAAACTCACCGTTCAGCGATGCATCCCGGTCCGGCAGCCATTTTCGCGGCCTCGGTAAGCGAGGGCAGGGCGCGAAAACGCTGCGCGCGGCCCTTTTGGGGCTTCCGGCGGCCATTTTGAAACCGCCGAACAGCTGATCCGTGGCTTCGTTTTGCGAAGATCGGTAAGCGAAACGCTTACCGATCTTCGCAAAGCGATTTTCGGCCATAGGGGCCATCGGTAAGCGATTGCATTAGCGATCCAAAAAAGGATCGCTATGCGATTTCGTCGTTATACGGTGCGCTTGTTAAGCGAAGCACCACTGTAAAGTGGAATCAAGTGGTTGTGACTATATAGATAGTGTAGATATGTCACAAATTGTGGTAAGGCAAGAATGGGTTGACTGATCCTCCAAGATGTTATTGGACTGCAACTCCTAGCATTCCCCACCATTGGCTATGTTCTGGAGGGCTGCTGGCCATTGTGGTCCAGCATCTGGAGGACCACATTTTGTCCAGCCTGCAGTAGGTGCCAAGACTAGAGAATTGTTTCCAAATCTTCCTTGAAAAAATGCAACTTGAGGATAGGTTTTTGGATATAAGAGAGCGAGAGTTTAAGACTTATGCACTAATTCAAGCAAAAGGCTAGGGTTAATTCAGAAACCAGGATGCATTGTAACATCTAAGGGTAGTTACACCAAATATCATTTTCATGGAACTGTTCCTGTAGAAACAAACTAAATAAAATATCTGATGCACTGGTTTGGCTTTGGATCTGTGTGTCTCCATGCTCAAATACACATATTTTCTATAGGTTGATACCAGGTGATGTTCAATATTACTTGGTAAGAACTTAAACTGAACTATTTAATCTTTCCCCTCCCTTATGCCCTGTCTCTCCCCCCCCTTTTTTTTTACTTTTTTTTCTTAGTAGCTAAATTATGGCAGGATCAGTTGATGCCTGTTCTGCTATTAATTTGCTAATTTTAGCTCTTGTGTTTCCATTATGAACAGGATACATTATAAATCTAAAGCTTATCCTCAGATGGAACTTTCTTAATGTGTTGGTGAATAAATATTTCTAGTGAGCTGTTCTGGTAAAGAGGCTTTCCTACTGAATATCTTTTAGGTGGATGTTCTTAAGGCAACTGCTCTACCTTTATTAAAAAGATTTGGAATTGATGGTGAGCATTTGGAATTGAAGGTAAGAACTTAATTCTGCTCTCTGCATATTTTCATTTGTATTTGGCCACATACATTCTACTGTTTCTCCAACACAAAAGGAAAAAAGGAACACTCAGAATCTAGTTTAAAACATCACACAGTCTGTTTCAGTTAGTCCTTGATTAATGAAAAAGGAAATTGCAAGGGAAACAGCAGTTGGGATTTTTTCCCTTGGCAAATATTTTCTTCTCTGTGTGTATCTATGTGTATGTACGTATGTTTCTGGACAGTTTGCAATAACAAAACACAAAAATACGAATAACAAGCAGTTAATAAAACTATTTTTAAAACAAGCTAAGAATTTCAGCTACAGTAAGTCTAATAGTATAATAAAACATACAGCATCCATGAAAAAATGCACAAACTTAAAGATCAGTGTATGCATCCAAAGAGGTTCCTCACCTGACATTAAAAAATGTAAGTAAAAGGTACCATGCAAGCTTCTGTAAGGAGGGCAGTCCATGACAGGGATGCCGGCACTGAGATGGCCCCATCTCCAGAAGCTACCTATTACACTTCACTTGGGAGGGGCACTCAAAGAGTCTGAAGTTAATTTTCAGTTTTAGCTACCTACCTGTGGGTAGCTTGTCCCTCATATTGTGTGACAAATAAGAGGTAGCTAAATAGTGATTTAGAAATACTTTGAGGATTTGTCAGTGTTCATTAACTCCTGTTTTATTTTGTTTTTACACACTGGGGTGGGGGGACAGCATAACATTCACTCACATCTAGCCACCAGTTCATGAATCACTGCTATAATTCCTGGGGACTCTAATTCCAAGCTAGAAGCAAGTGTATATTACAACACTTGTCTATTTCATAACTTACACTTTTATTTACTGTTTTCAGATCACAAGGAGAGGTGTGCCCCCGAAAGGAGGTGGTGAAGTGATATTCTGTTGTCCTGTTAAGAAAGCTTTAAAGCCTATTCAGTACATTGACCCTGGCAAAATTAAGCGGATCCGAGGGATGGCGTATCCTTTTTTCAATAATTGCAGGTGGAAATCTCAGCCTCAAATGGGGGATTACAACTGTTAAAATAAATAATAAAATCAAATCAAGTATCATCTTTGGCAAAGCTTCCTTGACCAGAACTAATTCTTGATTGCTAGAGTGATTAGGCAAGTGATGACCCTTTTTTGCAGCCTGTTTTTCACTTGATAAATTAAATGGTAAACTAAATGGCAAACCCCTTTCCTCTCACCAACCTTCACTTTTGTTTTAAAAGAAAACAGCTAGCAAGTCAGATTCTTGGTCTTTTCTCTCCCTTTCTCAGAGAACTCTAGAAATGCATGTCAGATGGGAACTTGAATCTTTGTTGCAGTTTCAGCTCAGTTTTTGCATGGTAAAAGTCACAGCTTTACCAGGAAAGCAGATGTGATTAGTGAAGATAGAGTAAGTGATTTAGTCATTGCGGTGATTAATGCAGAAAGCACCAGAGCTTGGACAAGTTACTTTTTATGAATTCACCTTGTCTGCCCTGTCACTCTCCTCATTTTTTGTTATGTTGTCATCAGTAGGACAGGCATTGTTCTAAATTCAGGTTGCTGGTCTGGGATTTTTATGTAGTCAAAGCCAGCATAGGCACTCCCTGAAATATAAAATTGCAGTAGATATGCTGTTCCCTGGTCCTGTGGTACAACTGGAGCTCAGTAATATGGTGCTATAACTTCTGCGGGTGCTCTGTGTTTCTCAAGACATCTTCAACTATTCACCATAAACTTTTGTTCCTGAATGCTTGGTGTAAGTATTCGTTGCAAACTGCACCCTGTAAATGGCACATTCCTGAATTTTGTTGTATAGATGACAGTACATGCTATTCACACATAAATGTGCATATTTTCAGATCTCTGTGGGAAATATATGACCATTCTTTTCTGTAAACTTGTCATCTTCTTGTCAAGTCTCCTTGTAAGAAATTCCTTAACTTCATTAACCAGTTATTCTGTCAGAGTGTCCCCTCAGATAGCAAACCGAATTGTGGATGCTGCAAGAAGCATTCTGAATAAATTTCTGCCAGATATTTACATTTATACGGACCATATGAAAGGGGCCAGCTCTGGGAAGTAAGTTTTCACAGGCTTCTATGACGAGATATGGATTTGTAATTCACTTGTGTACTATTGAGTTAAAGGGGAAGCAGAAGAATTGAAATGACCAAAATACAGTCTAGCTTCAGGCATGGATAAGCATAATCATCATTGCAACTTTGGCTCTTCAGATGCCAGGCTCTCAGTCCACTCAGGCCCAGCCAATGTAGATTCTGTTGTAGCCTTAAAAACAGCAATTCCACAGTCTGCTTTGCCTGTTCTTCTATTTTGTCCCCCAGAAAGGGATGAGCCCTAGAACAATGTAGGAAGCACAGACTTTGCCTACAGATGGGCTCTGATTCAGTCTTTGGGGCTTCCAGATAGAAAAGCACCAGGCAGCAACTTGGGAGAGCCATTGCCATTGGGAATAGACTACATTAGGCAACATAAGCAAATAATCTGACTTGGTGTAGAGCAACTTCCATTCTTCCTAGGTGCAGTGAAAGATTTAGCAATCAGATAAATCAGATAGGGATGGAGAAAGATATTTAATGATAGCTGTTTTGCATACAAATTATTGTTTTGTAGCTAAGCATAAATGAAGAAGTCTCTAATTGAAAGAGGCTGCGGGCATTTTTATTAAAGAATTCAAAAAAATGTAAATGCATTTCAATCCATCCCCATCTACCCCTTTCTCTTTTCAGGTCTCCAGGTTTTGGGCTATCCCTTGTGGCAGAAACTACATGCGGCACTTTCCTCAGTGCTGAACTGGCCTCTAATCCCCAGGGTCAAGGGGTGGCTGTGCTTCCAGAAGAGCTTGGCACAAACTGTGCAAAGCTACTACTTGAGGAGATTTACAGAGTAAGTGGTGTCCATTTCCAGATGGGTAGCCATGTTGGCCTTCGGCAGAGAGAACAACAGAAGAGTAACATGTTAACTTCTGAATGGATTTATGGTGGCCTATAGCCTGTTTCCACAAAAAATTGGAATAGAAGGTTGGTTTGCATGTCTCTCCAGAAGGAAATGGAGTAGAACTTCACAGCTGGATTTCTTCCCATCATTTACATACTGTACCTAGTTTTTTTAGCCCTTTCATTTAAAAATGTCCATATTATATGACATGACATCAGGACAAGGATTCCAGATGTTATTGGATTGGAATTTCCATCAACTCTCACCAATTTAATTAGTGGCAAAGAATTAGGGAAACGGTGGTTCAAAAATATCTGGAGAGCTATACCTTCTTTACCTCTGTGATAGATGGCAGATGGGAAGCTACATAATATGGAATGTATTTTCTGTAATCCAACCAATAATCTTGGTCAGAAATATGGCTCTAAAAGAGAGAGAGAGAGAGGCAATTGGAAGGCATCTATATTTTGAAAGCTTCGCCTGCTTGATTAGGAGATTATTGTGGACTGCAGCTTGTTCTGTGCCTGCTGCCAATACACCCAGCAGTAAATGAGACTCTGATCCATTAGTGGTTAAGTCAAGCCATTGGCTACTGTGCTGCCTATATTTCTTCCTAATGAAAGCCAGAGAAACAGATGGGTCTTCTTCATGCTTACGTAATAGGCTTCAAGGCTGAGAATAGAGCTGGGAAACCAGGGTCCTGTCCTTTTTATGTTTAATTGCCTTTAAGTTCAAGAAAATACCTGATGTAGGTCAGAATATTTGCAGTAAGGCATGGCTCTGGCTCTTAGCATATGATTCCTCTGGTTTATTTGAACCACCTATTTTTGCTGACCTGGCTCATATCAGAGAGTTGAAAGTGGTGAAAACAGGGCTTGGGAGGACTTCCTTGTCTGAGCTACAGCTCCCAGACTCCTCCAGCAACCGTGGCCGTTGCCCATGCTGGCTGGAGGAGTCTAGGAGTTGTAGCCCACCCACCAAAAAGAACTTTTCCAAGCTCCAAGTAAAATCAATGATGGAAATGCTTTCCAGTATTGCATTTATGATAGTATATCTATAGCAAAATAGATAATGAAATGAAGTAGAGCTTCATAATTGGTAGAAGAGCCTTGAGTTGCTGTCAAACTACCTGATGGCTTCAAGAAGCTGCCCTGGAGCCCAAAGGGCTGGGCCTACAGTGGACCCTCGACTTACGGAATTAATCCATATTGGAACGGGGGCTGCAGGTTGAAAAGCCTGTAGGTCGAGGCTCCATTGACCTACAATGCATTGAAAACTAATTAATCCGTAACGGGCCGTTTTTGTTCCATTTTGGGTTTTTTTCCGGTCTGTAGGTCGATTCTCCGGCTGCAAGTCAAACCTAAATTTTGGGGCCAGAGAAGTCTGTAACTCGAAAAGTCTGTAAGTGGAGCCGTCTGTAAGTCGAGGGTCCAGTGTAGTTCATTTGTTCCCCTAATATATGGCGCTTCATAAAAAAAGGTCTGCTGTTGATTGAATAGCTTCGTGCTACACTTTTTCCTAATGATGAAATAGAAAGATCGTGAATTCTTGGTTGTGGGGAACATTATTTCTTGGACCAGGAAGAAAACCCCAAACATGCTGTTTCTGTACACAATATAATGAAGCTGTTTCTACTTCCTGAATATAGTTGCAGGAGTATTTACAAGCGAGTCCTGATACAAATGGCTTTCTTCTCTCTTTTTTTTCTGTTTGTAGTTGGGCTTGTTCTAAAATGATCACAAAATTTGCCTGTTATCTTTTGATCCTTGAAAGGCAAGACGAAAGCTGTGGTTTTCCTCCTCCCCTTCCCCCTTCTTGCCTATATTTTCTTGTTAGTACAAAGATTAATTATTAAAGTGTTTGCATTTGCAGGGAGGCTGTGTGGATTCAGCAAACCAAAGCCTGGTCTTGCTGCTAATGACCCTTGGACAGCAGGATGTTTCCAAAGTCCTGTTAGGACCATTGTCACCATACACGTAAGTTTCCCCTCCCTTTCCCTAAAAAACTAAATTATCCATTGCTGTTCAATTTGCTAATTGTGCTGAATAACATATTTTTGTTGTCACAGTGAATGCTTAGTCTGTAAGCAGCCAGAGGAATGATTTCCACTACTTCTTTAATGTACTCTAATATGTTACCTGTTGCGTATTTTTGTGCATTCCGCCTGAAGATTTCCTTATTCACCAGGACTCTTAACTCCAAAGCAAATATACTTGCAAGGACCAATTTTACATGCTCGCACACATGCTACAGGTGTTTGCTGTTTCAAGTAACCAAATGACATTGAGCAGCTAGTGTTTTGAACAGCGGTTGTTAAAACATCTACTCTAGCACGTTCTTCTCTCACATTTCTGTGAAAATTTAGAAGAAACCCGGTATTTGCAGTGTGTATGTGTGAACAAGAGGAGGTGTAAGTTGTGTGTGTGTGTGTTTTAAACATGTCAGACCATCTGTAAAGAAAAATACGTCCTTTTTTATTTGTGAAAAGAGATGTGAATCTGAGGACTGAGCTCCTGTTTTCTTTGGAACTGGCTTGCTAAGGTGGCTTTGGAAAATAGCTTAGCTTTCTGTTTGCATGCCAGTTGGTATGTTTGTTTGAGGTTAAAACAGCTAGACTGTGAACTGTCCTTTTTCGGTTATCATGGTACCGGTGCTGTATATGTGAAAGGTACAGTACTGTGATAACTGAAGAATGATAGTGCCATCACAATGAGATGGGATGTACTGGCAAGTGACTGCTGAAGCTTTAAATCTGGCTTGGAAGTCAAGTGGCAAGACCTCAGGATAATGTTAGGAAGGGAGAGTCTTGCAGTGTGTTGATGGATGGTAGTCCAATTATCCTCAAACAGACCAGTCAACAGTGATATGCAAACAGTTGTGCATGCCTTGGTAACAAACCAAGCAAACTTTGACTGACTGGTAATAAGCCAAAGAGCTGTGATCTTACTGGAACTGCCGGAAGGGATGAATGGAGTTTGAGATCCTTAATTGTTGTGAGAGCTTTAATTGCATGCTGAAGAGGAAGTAATATGGTGCAGAAGATGAGTGTAGGGCTGTGTAAATGAAGTAGTACAGTGTTTCTCTGCATGGAAGTACACCCTGGGTTTGTGACTTATGAGGAATTATAGACCAAAATATGACCAAGGACCAAAGGTTCATGCCTATGGCTTAGAGCAGTTGTTCCCAACCTTGGGTACCCCAGGTGTTCTTGGGCTGTATCTCTCAAAAACCTTCACCATTAGCTATGCTGTCCAGGATTTCTGGGAGTTTTTAGTCCAAGAACTTCTGGAGACCCAAGGTTGGAAACCATTGCTTTTCATGACCCCATGGACCAGAGCACCCCAGGCCCTCCTGTCTTCCACTGGCTCCCGGAGTTGTGTCAAATTCATGTTGGTAGCTTCGATGCCACTGTCCAACCATCTCGTCCTCTGTCGTCCCCTTCTCCTCTTGCCTTCGCTCTTTCCCAACACCAGGGGCTTTTCCAGGGAGTCTTCTCATGAGATGGCTAAAGTATTGGAGCCTCAGCTTCAGGATCTGTCCTTCCAGTGAGCACTCAGGGTTGATTTCCTCCAGAATGGATAGGTTTGATCTTCTTGCAGTCCACGGGACTCTCAAGAGTCGCCTCCAGCACCACAATTCAAAAGGATCAATTCTTCAGCGGTCAGCCTTCTTTATGGTCCAGCTCTCACTTCCATACATCACTACAGGAAAAACCATATCTTTGACTATGAGGACTTTGTGGGAAGGTGATGTCTCTGCTTTTTAAGATGCTGTCGAGGTTTGTCATCGCTTTCCTCTCAAGAAGCAGGTGTCTTTTAATTTCGTGGCTGCTGTCACCATCCGTAGAGATCATGGAGCCCAAGAAAGTAAAATCTGTCACTGCCTCCATATCTTCCTCTTCTATTTGCCAGGAGGTGATGGGGCCAGAGGCCATGAGCTTGGTTTTTTGGATGTTGAGCTTCAGACCGGTTTTTGCCCTCTCCTCTTTCACCCTTATTAAGAGGTTCTTTAATTCCTCCTCACTTTCTGCCATCAGAGTGGTATCATCTGTATATCAGAGGTTGTTGATCTTTCTTCTGGCAATTGGTTAGGTGTTGCTGTATTGTTATTATTTATTATTTATTTAACATATTTTATCCTGCCTTTCTCCGTAAAAAGGACCCAAGGCAGCTTACATCATTAAAAAGACAATATTTAAACGCAAAAAACAGTAAGTATACAAATATTTAGAAAGAATTAAACAAGTATTATATTTAAAATGGTAAATAAAATCAACACTAAAACACATTTAAAACAAAGCACAACAATCCATTTAGATTATGGAATCAGAATATGTAGAATATGTTTCTCTAGGATTTCACCCTAGAATTTGCTCATAATGCAGGCCCTCCAATTGAAGCAAAGTATAGGCTTATACATCATGGAAACCCAGTGCTTAACATTGTCACGATTTTCCCACATGCCTGATAGTCTTTTGAATTATTCACATATGAGCTATAGGAAAATGGTCCAGATGGCTTCCTGCAAACTTTGAAGCTTAGATGTCTAGCAAACAAACTTTTGTGTCTTTCCATATTTTGTCAGTCTTTGTCTCCTCTAGACTCCCTATTAAATTTTGTGCTCTACTGTTTCCTACCACATTTGGCTTGTGATTTGGAGAAATCTGATTCTTATTCTAACCCTTATGCCTTGGTCTGTGTATTTCTGCCCTCTAGAGGTATAGAAAGCTTTGTGAAATTGAAGCACATAACTTTTCTCCCATGTCACACTCTTTTATAATTTGTACATGTGACATTTTACAGTAAGTCTTCCCCAAGGTCATGTTGGCTGGGGTATTCTGGAAGTGATAGTGCAAAGAAGTAACTTTTCCCATCTCTGGCAAAAGCAAAGGCTTAAAAAATACTGTGTCATTGTAGACTCTGAAACTCCAAAGGCATGATCAGAATATCACTACCTGTATAATGAGACATTCTCCAAACTTATGGTCATGTCACAACAAGCCAGAAGGCCAATTAAGACAGGACACGTACACTTGCAATAAAAGATACACTTCTATAGCATGACAAGGTACACAATGTACACTTGCAATAAAAGATACTGTACACTTCTATAGCATGACAAGGTACACAATCAAAGCAGGTACTGAAACTCTCCTCTTTTGCATCTAGTCCTCCTATCTACGTATAAGCCTGTTTTGATCCCATTCCTGCCTTCTTTCTCTCCTTATCTCTTAGGCTGCAGAGGTGAAAATAAGCTCCATTGAACACAGTGTGTATAGCATGCATAGGATTGTGCTATTAAGTCTGTCTGTGGCAGTCGACATCCACAGTCTGTTTGGATGTGCAGAGCCTGAGAATATGTGAGACTTCATTCATATGGGTGCAGTGGTGCTTGATTAATTCTGGCAGGGGCATGTAATTGCTCCTGATAAGCACGGCTGCCTGATTTTTAATTTCAGTTGGCTCTGCATGAATGCCAATTATGTGTTCCAGCAGTGTGGTGCCATCTCACAGATCCTTCATCTGCTTTTGATTGCAATCCTTTGTGTGCACCCACCCAGGCATAAGCTCCGCTAAATGCAGAGATTTACTGTTCTGAACATGTATAGGACTGTGCTGTTTCAGTCCTGGGATCTTACTCCAGAGTTACAAACCATATGCATTCCTATGGCCCTATATTGTGGGGTGAGAATGAGACAGTAAGCAGTGTGTAACAAAATATCCTGAAAGCATAGAATCTCAAAATATGGACTGGAAACACATATTGTCAAGTTGGAGATAACCTCTCCAAAACCCCAAATAGGGACTTGGAGAGTTGCTGCTTCATTCTTAACTTTGAAGTCATTTCTCTATAGCAAGAGTGGGGAATACTTTGTAACTCACGGACAGAACTGCAATTTGGGGAGGATGTTTGGAAGCTTCATTCTAGGTGGAGGCAGGGCTAGAAGCAGAGTCAACAACAGAGTGGGATATTTTCCCATCAGTTGCTAGGAAGCATAGCTCAATTCCGTGCATGTCTACTCAGGGCTAAGCATCAGTGCAACAGCTTCCCAGGTTGGGACACATAGTTCAGTTCTGTGCAGTGTCTTCCCCAGCTGTAAACCAGAACTTAGTTTCAAGGCTTTAAATAGCCTTTTGTCCAACCGCTGATTGATGGTAACAATGAAAGAAGCTGCGGGCCAGATGGGGAACTCATATGAACAACAGGTTCCCCTTCCTGCTCTGTTACCATGACTACTTTTTTCTCTTCCCTCCCAACAAGAAAGGGAATGAGAATTGGATGGCAGTCTACATTTTTTTAAACCCTTTCACTCCAGTCTACAAAACTCTCTTGATCAGCAACAGAACGTATATCCTTCGTTGCCTACAAAGGTCCCTATACACTACTGGCCAAAAAGGTGATTGTTACTATGAGGCTACAGGAGCATATTGAGGGTGCAGGATGACTTATATAGAGTAGGAATGGGCAACTGTAATGGGCCTGGGTGCCAAAGGGTTGCAACAGGCCCAAAGTGACGCCCCCCCCCAAAAAAAGAGAGAGAGAGACTGCCCCTGAAATAAAAATCCAAAGGAAAAATGCTTGAATATCCAGCTCTAGTCACTTCCTGGATTCCATGCAAAGACATACGTTTTGTTGCTGACCAAGAGGGTATTGTGGATTTGGATGAAAGAATCTCAGTGAGATTGAGTGCAACTCACTTCTTGTTTCTTCTCTTGATAGAAGATTTTTTTCCCCTTTGGGGTGGTTGTGACTTCCCCAATGAAAAGAGTGCTGCTGTTGGATGCCTCCAGGAGCAGAAAAACCCACATTTTTTGTCTTTCCATATTTATAGGGGCTTCCAAAATAGACTTCATGGATTCATGCTTCTTGTGGCCCACCTTTTGCCCACCACTGAAGTAGACTAAGTTTAGGGGATTGAACTGAAAAGTCTGAGTGAACATGTGTGAGAGAGAGTGACAGAGGGGAGGTTGAAGAATGATGCTTCTTACTAGGATGAGATGTAAGACAGGGCTTGTGCACTTTCAATACATCCACCGAAAAGAGAGGTACAATTTAGCACTCAAGTGATGCCAGCTAAAATTCTCTCTTTTACATAACAGATTTAAAGCTCAGAAAAATACTTATCATAATTAACAATCTGTTATCTTAATGAAATAACGTTTTCATTAGGGTTTTAATTTCTGTTTGCTTCCTGTTTCTTTTTGCATTTTCTATATCTCATGCTGAGTACCTGTGAAAAATTAACAAATTCAGCAACATTGTTGACTAATATTATTACTTCCAAAAATCCAAAAGGTTACCTTCCTTAACTGTGGTAGTATCTTTTGAAATGTCTGTACTCATGTCTGCCTTCTGTTCCTTTTTCTTTTCTTTTTTAGAATTGAGTTTCTGCGACACTTGAGGGACTATTTCCAGGTTATGTTTAAAATTGAAACCAAATCATCAGCAGAAGAATGCAAAGGCGGAGAAAAAGTCTTAATGACGTGTGTTGGCATTGGATTTTCCAACCTTAGCAAGACTGTAAAATGAAGCTGTTTCGGTGGAATTTCAATAAAATGCATTGTTTGGTTACGTAGGAGAAAATGTGTTACAAAATTTTCATGCAACTTCAGTTTGTCTTCATTTTTTTTTAATTGTAATTGTGCATCTTTCTACTAACCTTATAAATAAGTAGTTCTTGCATTTCGCCAAAGCAGTCACTTATGTAAAAACCTTGTTGCCTTGAATTCTCCCAAAATTCCACCGGCAAAATTCTGGGGGTTCCAGCCCACAGACCAGCACTTACATTTCAGTCGTCTGGACCAGGGCCTATATGAAGCTGCATGGCTGTCTCAGGGCTTGTTTTTTGTTGTTAAACTACAAAAAAAGGAAGCTCCCACAGGGCCTCTTGGGAGTGGTGGTCTCACTGCCCTTTAGTCCTGAAGGACTGCAGCTCCCAGGAAGACCCTGGCAGCTTCCTTTTTTGTATGTTAAGGAAGGAAGGTTTGAGACAACTATGAAGCCTTGGAGACAGGTGAATTTTGGTATGGGTTTGTTTCCCAGAATTCTGCCTGTAGAGTTCTCTTAGAATTTTGAGAGTTTAACAGGAACTCCTGCTTTCTAGGAGTCATTGTTCTTTGGGAGGTACCCTGTGTAAGGTCTAATAAGCAGTAAGACTACAGGTCTCAGTGTCCTGCAAACCCCAGAGGCTTTGGCCCATGTTGGTTGGTCAACCATCCCCACTCTCATGACCAACCATCAGAGGTCAGGCCATTCTGGGCACAGAGTATGCTGCGTGTTTTAGGCTTGCTGCTGTTTAAGCTCTACAGAAAGCCCCATGGCAGGTGTTGTTTTGTTTTTAATTAAAGCAGAAGGCAAAAGCAAAAGAAGGCAGCTCTGATAGTGGGAATGGCAGCAGCAGAGATAAATAACCCTCAAAACTCCTCCTCTAAGGGAATTAAATCAAGAGGTGTGTTGATTTTTGGTTTTGGACTGCATCTGTCAGAGTTCTGCTTGAGAATTCCTGGAGAATTTTGTGCGTTGCCGTTCAATTCTGGGAGGTGATGCCTAGGGATGTCTGGGGGAGTGGCAATCAAAGGAGATGAAAGAACACATCTCTAATGGCTCTCATAAATTAAGACCTGCTGTCTAGCTGCTTCATTTCCTCTCTGGTAAAGCTGAGTCCAAGAGGATAGACTTCTCAGATATACACTTGTACAACATTTTAAGTTACAGCAAGTGATGGGTACTGAAAAGAATGGTTTGTTCTGCTTCTTAATATCAATGGGACATGTTGACACCTGCCACTTCCTGTATCTTCTTAATGAGTTCCTCTTGTTTCGGTATCTCCGATTTCTTCCAGTTCTTAGCATAAATAATTCTGGCTGCAGTGACTATACGTATATATAACTAGGTAGTTCTTTGTCTTATCTATATTGTCTGGTATAATGCTCAGTAAAAAAAGTTCTGGGGTTAGTGGAACCTTAAAAAGCATTATTTTTTGTAACAGAGTACTGTATGTAAGTCCACCATATATGGTAAAAGCTTCCCTCATGTGCTTCACACTTCCAAAAACCTGCTTCTAAATACAGTATAAGCAGTTCAACAAATAATTCATGACTTATATTTTCAACATTGTAATCTATCAGAAATGGGTCACTTCATAAACAACATAATGAATAATGGCAATTTATTACTTTTAAAAAGTATTTTTCTAGGCTCTGCTTATAGTGATTTTTGTTCCAATTTTAGGAGAAGAGTTCAGATAACTAAGGAGGAGGTACGTTTTGTTCTTCTATATCAGCCATTCTCAACCTTTTTTTTTTTTTTTTTGGTTACAGTCCCCCTAGGAGCTCTTCTCAAGTTCTAGGGACCCTTTGTCAAACAAGGATACAACATGGATAAACATAAAATCATTTATTATTGAACATCAAGAAAACATGAAAATTCTGACATACTTGACAAAGCATTTTAAAAGGGGGATGAAACTGAATATCTGTTAGGCCTAATGCAATCCTTGAACTTGGTGCTTTTTTGCAAGTTTCATTATACCAGGCTCCAAATTAGACCATACAGTTGGAGGTAATCTCTTGTCACAATACAAATTCTGTTCCTGGATCTTGTCAAGGAAACTATCTTGCTGAATCCACATGCAATCAAATATGTTGAGGGAAAGGCCGTGTTGAAAGTTTATTCAGCAGATCACAAGTTAAAAAAGCAAAGCACAAGGGCACAATGAATAAAAAGAAGAACTACCTTGCTTTTCTGCACCACTCCTTTCTTCTCCAGCACAGTCAGTGCGTTAAACTGCACACACACACACATTACAATACAGAGAGAAACAGCTGGCAGCTGATTTGCTGCATTCATGGCTGGCTTCTAATAAAACCCTTGGGGCTCCCCGCCTCACAGATTTCAGTCTGCGGCCCCTATCAAATGGAACAACAAAAAGGACTGGTACATCTACTGAAGATGTCAAGCAAGGCAAGACGATAGTCCCAGAATTTTAAATGGGTATCACTTTATTATTTAAAGATGTAAGCCCAACGCGTTTTGGTTAATTATTTTTAGCCTTCTTCAGGGGCATTGATATTGCAGTTATATTGAATTCGTCTCTGAAGCTTTTTTTTAAGGGTCATTTATTCAAAAAGGAGTGGGGAACTGTCCCTAAAAAAACCTCAGAGATAGATTCAATATAAGTGCAATACTATGGAGTCCCAGGTGGCGTCTGTGGTCCGATCTGCCTTTTATCACCTTAGGCGGATAGCCCAGCTGCGGGCCTATCTTGATGTGGGGGCCCTCACTACCTTGGTGGATGCGCTTGTAATCTCAAGATTAGACCACTGTAATGCGCTCTACGTGGGGCTGCCTTTGAGGCTGCTGCGGAAACTTCAGGTGGTGCAGAATGCTGCGGCCAGACTTCTCAGTGGTGTGAAAAAATACCAACATATCTCAACCACCCTGGCCGCATTGCATTGGCTGCCCATCTGGTTCCGCACCGACTTCAAAGTGCTGACGCTTACGTATAAAGCCCTAAACGGTTTAGGGCCTCGATACTTGGCGGAACGCCTCCTCCCACCGAGATCTACCCGCGTCACTCGTGCGAGCCAGGAGGTGAGGCTGAGGAGCCTAACGCCGAGGGAGGCCCGGAAGGTAAAGACAAGAAATCGGGCCTTCTCGGCGGGGGCTCCTTGCCTTTGGAACAATCTCCCTCCGGGAATTTGCGCGGCCCCTACGCTGGGCATCTTCAAAACCCAATTAAAAACATGGTTATTCATTCAGGCCTTCCCTAGAGCCAATTCTTGATTTTCTTATTATTATTATTTTTCCTATTTTTTAGTTTATTCTAGTTGTTTTGTATTAGCCATGTATTTGTTGTGTTTTATTGTTTAATTTTATATTGGAAGCTGCCTAGAGTGACATCCTTGGACTATCGTCTTTTCTTGCCTGACAACCCCTTCAAATGGGCCAGGGCCCCTGTTGAGAATGACTGCTCTAAACCACCAGCAGCCTGTTTCATGAGAAACATACCAATCTTGTTAAAGAGATAACCAAAATGGCTAAACGTCTCTCTGTAATTGCACTGTGAGACATTGCCAGGGGAGTGTTACAGTAAGTAGTGCCTCGACATACAACCGTATCAACATATGACCATTTCGAGTTGCGACCAGCTCCGGCTGCAAAATTTTGATTCGAGTTGCAGCTGGAGCTTCGAGTTGCAATCAAAAGAGGCAGGGAAAAAAGGCGGGGAATTCAAATTAGAGGGCTAACCATTGGTCAGGGAAGAGCTTCTTTGTAGCTCTTTTGCCCCAATGGTTAGAGTGTGTGTGTTGGAGGAGCCTTGAGACTGCCTGGTGCTGCTTTCTGGTTCTGAGTAAGTACATTTGCAGGGTATTGCACGTTGGGTTTGGGCTGGGGGGGGGTTATGTTTCTGTGCTGTGATTTTTTTGGTGTGTTTATTTTTTCAGCTCCAGCGCCTTCTGATGGGGCTTGCTGTGTGCTTTATTTTTGGTTTTTTTTTAAAGCCCCAGCACCTCCCAACAGGGCTGCTGTGTCCTTTATTTTATTTTATTTGGGTTTTTTGTTGTTTTTTCTTGGGCCGGAACGGATTAATCGCGTTCCAATGCATTTAAATACTCAGAGCTATCTGCCCCCTATTTTAAGTGTGGAACTGGTTATTAGAGATGGGGATAAATTAAAAAATGGCAATGTTGCGATTCATAATTCATCAAGGTCCCCAAATCAATTAATACAAATTTAAGAATATTCTTCGACAAATCAACAAATAAATTATTCAATTTGTCTTCAATTTAAAATGCTATAAGACAGGGCCCCAGGCACTTTGTTGTTGTTTAGTCGTGTCCAACTCTTCGTGACCCCATGAACCAGGGCACACCACACCCTCCTGTCTTCCATTGCCTCCCTGAGTTGGGTCAAATTCATGTTGGTAGCTTTGATGACACTGTCCAACCATCTCATCCTCTGTCGTCCCCTTCTCCTCTTGCCCTCACACTTTCCTAACATCAGGATATTTTTCAGGGAGTCTTCTCTTCTCATGAGATGGCCAAAATACTGGAGCCTCAACTTCAGGATTTGTCCTTCCAGTGAGCACTCAGGGTTGATTTCCTTCAAAATGGATAGGTTTGTTCTCTTTGCAGTCCAAGGGACTCTCAAGAGTCTCCTCCAGCACCACAATTCAAAAGCATCAATTCTTTGGCGGTCAGCTTTCTTTATGGTGCAAAACTCACTTCCATACATCACTATAGGAAAAACCATAGCTTTGAATATTCGGACCTTTGTTGGCAAGGTGATGTCTGTGCTTTTTAAGATGTTGTCACGGTTTGTCATCCCTTTCCTCCCAAGAAGCAGGTGTCTTTTAATTTCATGGTTGCTGTCCCCATCTGCAGTGATCATGGAGCCCAAGAAAGTAAAATCTGTCTAGGCTTCCATATCTTTCCCTTCTATTTGCCAGGAGGTGATGGCACCAGAGGCCACGATCTTGGGGTTTTTTTAAGTTGAGCTTCAGACTTTTTTTGCACTCTCCTCTTTCACCCCCATTACGAGGTTCTTTAATTCCTCCTCACTTTCTGCCATCAGAGTGGTATCATCTGCATATCGGAGGTTGTTG